TAGAGTTACATGACCCTATTTTACATCTCACCTCCAATTTTATTACCTGTATGATCTTGGGCAAGTCATTTAATTTCCCTGGGTCTCAGTTTCCTCATTTGGAAAAAGATAAGGTTGAGCTAAATGAGAAGTGTCAAACACATGGCCAACCCATGCAGTCCACAACATTCTCAAGTGCAGCCTGAACCAGATTAAAATGTAATTGGGAAACATTTAGCAAAATAAATTGAAATATTATAAAACATAGATTGTGTTAATACGTGGTTTTCCAGATCGATACGTACATTTGTTGTTTTCAGCCACATTTGACTCCTCATGACCCCATCTGGCATTTTCTTAGCAAAGATACTGGAGTGGTTTGCCGTTTCCTTCTCCGTGATATAGGCTTGACAAAACTGATGGCATTTTACAGATGATAAAACTGAGGCAAACAGAGTTAAGTGACTTACTCGGGGTCATACAGCCAGTAAATGTCTGAGGCCAGATTTGAGCTCAGGCAGACGAGTCTTCCTGATTCCAAACTATAAATTTCTGACTCAAAAAAAAAAAATTAGTTAATTTGCAAAAATCTCCACATCGATGGTGGCCACTGTACAGTATCTTTATGTATGAAAGGCAACTTTCACACATAGTATGTAGTACTGGATCTAAAGTCAGAAGGCCTGGGTTCAAATCTTACCTCTTGTGATTATTAGCTATGTTACTATAAGCAAGTCACTTAACCTCTCTCATCTTCCGTTTCCTCGTCTATAAAGTGACAAGCAGTATCTACCTCATAGAGTTGCGATAGAGCTCAAATGAGATATCATATATATAAAATATGTGCTATGTCACATATGTGCTATGTTATATCTATTATGTACTATATTATATATGCTAAATATGTGTGTGCTCTCTCTCTCCATATATATATATATATATATATATATATATACACACACATACACACATATAGAGAGCAATTTGCAAACCTTCAAACCTATATAAATTTCATTGTTTTTATTGTTAAGGATAGAGACAGCACCTATAATTTCATTAGTTAACTCCTTCTATGAGTGCATGCAGCCACTTTCTCTTGAATTTATAGTCATAAAAAATTCAACAGAGGATCAAGAGGTGAAGCAGCTCATCCAGGGTCACACAGCCAGCATGGTTTATAGGCAGAACTTGAAATCTCCCTAGCTCTCTATCCACCACCCCCATGCTATCTCACTATTGCTATTATTACGCAAATTACATTAGCAAGTATAAATTCTAATGACAGCTCCTTTCTCTTTCCCCCACCCATAGGAGGGGAGTACAGAAGTGCTGGCCTTGGTTCTATTTTCTGTTCCCTTTGCATTCCACTTCACCCACCTGCTCTAACTTTGGTCAGCCTGCATTTCTCCTGTGCCACAAACACTGGCTGGCATTTACACAGATGTAGGCAATGACACCCTTCAGGGGCATACAGCTATTGTCTGCACAGGTGCCATTTGGGCAAGCAAGCAAGAGCTATGCACAGGAAGTGACATAAATCCAGTTTCTAGAGACAGATTGGTAAATGAGTTTTCCATCTTTGCCATAGACTGATTAAGATTTCAACATTTTCCAACAAAATCCAGCCCAAGGGGCCAATGCCCTTTGTTGTCCTTGGGACTCTTCATGCTATTCTCCCTTGCACTGTGTCCTTCTCCAAGAAGTGTCTCTGCTGTTGGAACAACTCATCTGCTTGTCTGGAAAATGAGAAGTCAGACCTCTCCTGGCTAAGTGACCATAAAGTTACCAAGTGAATGAGAGATGAGGGTCTCAGACTCATAAGGGTCTTTTGGTAGAAACTGACTCTTGCTTCTTGATAAAGAGGTATGCAAACTAACATAATTGTTAGTTTCAAAAAAAAAAGGACCCCGCACTCTGGGTACAATCATCTCTTAGATTACTTACAGCTCTAGAAAAATATGACTCCCAATTCTGGTAAGAGATATGCCCAGAATTCATGCCCATCTCAGGAGCAAGACAACAAAATCAACTTTTGACCTTCTAGGTACTTCTGTTCCCATGTCACCAGATCATTTCTGTCCTGACATGTTAATTTAGCTTCATTTAATTTTTTTTTTTTTACAAAACTGACTTCCCAAATTACTGAGCAGGGTTGTCACCTGGTTATTTGAGTATTAGGAGTGGTAGAGAGAAGGAGCAGGCATCAAGAGCCCAAAAAGCCAACTAATGTCCAATTTTACCAAGATTCCCAGGCTGCCAAGGGTCAAAATTAGCATCTTTGAATGGGGCAAAATGCAACAGAAAGATGGAGAGGCAGAACTTTTCCGTATACTGAGCTGTTCCATAATCCTCTATTGTTGTTGTTCAGTCAATATCAGTCATGTTTAACACTTTGTGACCCCATTTGGGGTTTTCTTGGCAGAGATACTGGAGTAATTTGCCATTTCCTTCTCCAGCTCATTTTACAGATGAGGAAACTGAGGCTAACAGGGCTTAAGGGATATGCCCAGAGTCACACAGCTAGTAAGTGTCTGAGGCCAGATTTGAAAATGAGTCTTCCTGACTCCAGGCCCACACTGTACCATCCGTTACACCACCTCACTGCCAGTATCCCCCATTAGCCTGGGACAAAGTCTTTAGGAACAGCTGTATGGGAGTGGGATCATGGTGTTGTGGAAAGAATACTGAATTTGGAATCAGCTATCACGAGTTCAAATCTCAGCTTTGGCCATTTGCTATCTGTGTGATCTCACAAGATACTTAGTTTCTTAGAAGTTTTAATTTCCTCATCTGTATATATGAAGGGGCTGAACTGGAGGACTTTCAAAGGTACCTTACAGCTTATCCTATAATCTTGACCTAAATCCTCTTAGTTACCAGATTCCTTCTGCTAAATATGACTTTTACCCACCCTATTCTACTATCTAATGGTTGATATAATTTCACTCTGTGACTTATAAAGTCAAACCGAGTACACTATACAAGTAAAATGTGAAATAACTTTCTTACATCTCTTTTCCACTCCTATTCCCACTCCCCAGTTAATAAAGAATAAATTACACCACCCCAAGACCTTTTGTACTATTCATAAATGTCTGCATCTTACTTTCTTTGACAGTCAGGCCTTTCCATGGTAACCTGCATGGTAGTAGTGAAGGCAGCTGAGCTTGAGCCACTGGAGAAAGATAAATGTTGGGTCATGGAAAAAAATCATTATTAATTAATTTATTAGTTTGTATATGCCCACTGCTTAGTAGCCACAGGATGTGCGTAAAAAAACGAGTCAACCCCATTCCCAACCAGAAATGGAGAGAGAATAAACTGTAAAGGAATGATACTTACTGTGGAGAAGCACATCAATTTATCAGTGGGCACAGGAGGGCAGCAGCTGCTGCCAATAGCCCTAATGAGGACACCAGCCTTCTTCCCTCTCTGTGGCTTTCTGTAAGTAACTTAGAAAAGCAAGGAAACCCAGCAGCTCTGAGCTGTTATTTAGGCAGGTACATCATACTGCATTGCAGAGCAGTGAAAATTGGAGGGGAAGAGAGTGAGACAGCGAAATAAGCTGTCTCAACATGACAGAGCAGTGCAGCTCTGAGGGTCTGCTAGGTCCTCGGTGTCTTCCCCTGAGTTACTCCTTCCCCCCCCCCCCACCTTGTTATGCGTGTCCCAGAGAGGAGAGGGGACATCTCCAGTCATCCTGATCTATATCTTGTCACTGGACCCAGATGGCTCCAGAGGAGAAACTGAGGCTGGTGACTTTGCACAGCCCTCCCTCACTTATATCCAATTCACTTTCAAGTCATGGCATCACCTTCCTGATGTCATGGTCCTGTTCGAGAATAAAAGACAAACAATAGCAACCCTGTGAATGTCTTATGTACCCCACTATACTGTAAATTACCTGAGATCTTAAGCGCAAAAAATAGTGGAGAGCTTTACAAGGTGTCCCCACTCCAGCACGTGGAGTCCTTGACAACACCTCCTGAGCTCTTTCCTATCCTTTTGGGAATATCTGTATCAGAAGTCTTAAGATGCTGACATCAGATAGAGATAAGACTTTTTTCATCCAGGGAGCCACAGGAACAACACTGGGCACTGGTAAATCCACCACCAGAAAGTCTAAAGCAAGCGAGACATCAATAAATACCTTGAAAGCCTGAAGTCCAGGACAAAGATTCCTGGGGTATAGGCTGAGAGATCCCATCCCTATAAATAAACACTAGGGAAGCAGTTTCTAAAAAGGCAGAAATGGCTATCAACTTTGCCAAACCAAATTCATCAGGTGGAAATACTTGCCCCAGCAAATTACGCAGACAGAACGCCCGATGACTTCAAAAATGAGAAGAAGGGGAGAGAGGGAGGATAAATAAAGAAAAAGCAAAGTAATGAGACAACAAGGCCTGGCTCTTAATTTATATGTAGAACTAGGAAAGCCTCAAAATGTCTCCCTTTGTTCACTATTTTAACTTGACGTTTAGGTCTCTATAATGTTTGATAATAAAGTTCTTGAAAACACCCACGTGGAGGGTTGTACTGTTTTTAAGGAGCAGGTGAAGAGACAAAAGGATACACTGGGACAAGAAAAAAAAAATCTCTCCTGCAGGCTAAGGTGAAGGAACCTGGTTATACAGAGGAGAGGCAGTGGCAGAAAGAAAACAGAAGGGGGCACTACCAAGCTAAGTCCTAGGGCTTGTTGGGAAAAGACGGGTATGCCCCAACCTGGTACCTTGACGTGGCACTGTAAAAACTCTGTAAATACTACATCATTCATTTATTCATTCCATGCCAAGGTGCTGGCTAAGCACTGGAGTTACAAAAAGAGGCAAAAGACAGCTCCTACCCTCAAGGAGATAATCTAATGGGGGAAATGCATTATTTATCATCATTTGGATTAAACAATAAATATATAATCTAATTGTTATTCGGTCATATTATTTATTTTATTCCCTTTTATTTTCCATCCATCACATCACATCACATCTGACTCAAAGCCTAACAACCTCTTCTTATTTCTGTAGATTCGGAATGTGGCTGCCAACCTCTGTGTAGACAGCAAACATGGTGCCACGGGGACTGAGCTGAGGCTGGATATCTGTGTGAAGGATGGCTCTGAAAGGACATGGTCCCATGAACAGGTACTTCAGACACACACACACACATATACATATACATGTACATATACATATACATATACATATACATATACATATACATATACATATACATATACATATGAGAGAGACAGAGAGGAGTGTAACTGAGGCATAGTGGGAAAAGCCTTGATCTAAGGAAGGAGTCAGAAGACCTGAGTCTTAATCCTAATCCTCAATCCTTAAACATGTCTAGTTTTGTTATTTTGGGAAGGTCACTTTATTTATCTGTATTAGCTTCCTTATATGGAGTGGGGAAAAGGCAATAAAAATAACTGACATTGAGGTTATCTAGTCTGACCATTTCATTTTTTACAAATGGGGAAATTGAGGCTTAGAGATAATATATGTAAAAGTGCTTTAAAAAGGATATGTGCATTAAAAGAAAAAGTGCTTTAAAAAGGTCATGGGCCTTGCTTATTGAAATATTTGATGATTAAGTGCGTTAAAAAAAATGTAAGTATAAGGTGCTCTACAAACATAATAATGATAACCCAAACTTCTTTTTTCTAGTTCTGATCCTACAGGTTAGTTAACAAAACTCAGATAAGACTTTGAGGGTTTTATATTTTTGGTTTTGCTTTTTAATAGCTTTTACAAAAGTCTCTGATGTGATATGAGTCTATGAGTCTAATGTATGCAAACTCAACCCATCAAGTACTTATTAAATACATAAAGGGCCTATGAGGACAAGAGATGCAAAGAAAAAAAATGAAATTCATTCTCTACTCTATGAGCACTCACATTAACCCGAAAAGGTCAGGAGGAAGTATTAGAAGGACAGCAGGTTTTAGTGAGATGATAGTCCATCTCATGTGACCTTCTAGCATTCTTTTATGGGGAAGAGGAAATGTGGGGAGGATGTTGGGGGAGAGGGGTTTTAGCCACATTCTCACCATGTTCCACTGATCTGTTATTACTGTGAACTCATACAAGCAAATCTTTGACTCTTGACTAGTTCCTGGATTAGATAATCCCTTAAATTCAGGTTTTATCTGGGACAGTGTCCTGTTTCACTTCTGGAACATGACCTGAAAAATACCCTTTTTTCCCAAAAAAGTCCTCTCCCAGAGGCCTTGTTAGCTGCCCCTAATTGTCATACTCATCTCTTCTGCAGAGAAGGGATGCATGACAAACTCTCTCTTTAAATTCTCTTACCATACTGGAGTGGCTGACCCCTTCCCTAACTGTCACAGCCAACTTTAAATTTTATTTAAGTGATCAGCTGGGTAAGACAACAGCTTGAGGACATACAACTGGAGAAGAAGAATATTTCATTCCTATTTATTGTTGCTTTGAAAAAAAATCTGTTCTTGGTGAAAGTAATTATACAGACATCTCTTAAAGATGAGCAGTTCAAAGGACAGGCATGGCATTCTCAAGGCAGCACACATTACCCACCTGCTCTGTTTGGGGAATAAGCCAATTGATCTCCAATTTTTTTTTTTGTAAGGGCCTGGTTAATGCAGTTGTAGTACTGTGATATAAAGCCAATGCAGCTGGTTAATGCAACTGTGGTACTACAAAAGTAAGCTAAGTATTGGTCTATCAGGTCCCATAAGTATTAGCTGGTGGCACTGAGGATATTTAGCCTGGCAAAGAAAGCGCTCAGGCAGTACATAACTGTCTTCAAGTGTATGAAAGACTTTCTTGTAGAAGAGGAATTGGGATTTGGTTCTCTTTGGCCCCAGAGCCAAAAGGCAAATCTAGGCTTGCTATAAGGAAAAACTTCCTCCCTAGTAGAGCAATTAAAAAGTGGAATTGGCCACTGAGCACCCCTTCTTGTAGGTCTTCAAGAAGATATGTTATGCTGGGAATCCCTTTTGGGTATGGGTTGAATCAAATGGCAGTTGAAGTCCTGTCCAACTCTCAAATTCTGTGCTTTTGTCACTTCATTCTGAGGCCCTGTTTTCTCCAAGTAAGTTGTTGGACAAGATGAGCCCCAAGAATCCTTCCAGCTCTAAATCTATGGCTCCACAAAATTATGACAAGCTTTTAGAAAACCAGCGTTCTCAGGTTATAGCGCAGGCCTTATCACAGTAAAGTCAAGTGTGTGTGTGTGTGTGTGTGTGTGTGTGTGTGTGTGTGTGTGTGTGTGCTTGAGAGACAGAGAGAAAGCTATGAACTCTTCCTCTGTCTCAACTCATCTGAACACAAAAATAACGTTATTATAGCAGCCAGGGAGCTCTCTCAGCCAGATAAATTTCATCTGAGATAGATGATGGCTTGAATTTTTCTCTGCTGAGTAACTTTATGAGAAGCAATTACCTTCCGCATGCAAATACCACTCAGTTGCTGAGAGTAGAGATAGAGACGGTTTTGGGGGATCCAAAATACAGGCAAAGTTAACTGTGTAGAAATAGCTTTTAAAATCCTATTCAAACACCACCATTCTGCCTTTTTTATTATTTTCTTTGGCTGGTCTGCAGTTCAATAGAGTGTCAGGAGAGGGCAGCACCAGACAGGAGGAAAAAACCCACTTCAGTAAACCAAGAAGTAGAAAGGTTAATGGCTTTTTAACAGAGATTTCCAGTCCCCAGAGACTCAGAAGATGGAGCTTTTCGGAGATTAAGTTAGGCTGACAGGAGGGAAAGAATTAATCATATTTGAAATACAGATCGCAGTAAATTGATTCTGAGGTTAAAATAGTACAATCTGTTTTATTTTGCTGTAATGAACTGAAGGCCAGATTCACTCCTGTGCCCAGTGCTACCTAGTGTTTTTACATGTGGATTTCAACTGCTAAATGAGACAGGAAGTGTCAGAGCAGGGATTATTCAATTTTCTAATTCAAGGGACAAGAATGCAAGCCCTTTCCCAGCTGAAAGGGTGCTTTCCAAAAAGAAAAACAAAACAAAACAAAACAAAAGAGAAAAAGGGGGAAATGCTTCTGAGGAGAATGGTGGAGATTTGAGGGTCCTTCATTATATCTATTGAGCCATACATGAAGTGAAGGACTGGCTTTAGCAAAGAAAGGAAGATTTGTAAATCTTTCTACTAGCCACACCTATTTAGTTCTTTGCTGTAGTATCAGCATGCTAGGATTTTTTAAAATTTCCTTTAGAGACTGAAAGAAAAGTTTTATTGTTTTGTTTATCCGTTTTTTTAATCAAAAGTTTAATGACACAAAGTACTCTTAGATCTCAAAATAAAACTTAGGACCTTTAAGGAACCCTGGTAAATAAGGTGGGAGGCATAGAAAGCAGGAAGAATGCTTGGCCTAATTTGCCCATCCTTGTTCTTTTAATGTATACTTGGCAAAACACTGACCCCATGAAAAGGACATACCTCTGCATTCACTATCTGCTTCTGCAAGGAAGCTGGGCATTGTCCCCTCCCAAGAGCTTTAGCGACCATGTTGACATCAAGATAAATTGAAGTCAACATAAATGGTGAAAGGACAACTTACTATGATAAATGGGTTCAGTCGAACAATGAAATTATCAGATTCAGCATAAGGAGGAAGCAGCCCCTGGGAAGGCTGTAATTGCTGAGGACTAGGCATAGTATTTCAAGAAAAGTTGAAGAAAACATTCATTTTCCATATAAAAAAATACATATTTCTCAATCCAATTGGCAAGATTAAAGCAATGAATGTTTCAACATTGCCAGCTTTACCGTATTTAGTACATTAGGATGTTCCAAAACAGGATGAAGATACTTCACACATCCTTGGCATTAATGAAATGGCAATGAATCACTGCGCTGTTTGGTGTAGTGGATAGAGGACCTCAGAAGAGCTAAGTCTGAGCCTACCTCTGACACATACTGGATAATCACTTGGGAAACTCTGGGACCTGGGAAAATCACTTAATCCCTCAGGTCCTCGGGCAACTAACTCTCCAAGACTATAAATTTTAGAACCAATCTTGATCTGCTTTGGTAGAAGGAGATTGCACACCAAGAGTTCCTCCACTGATAAAATAAAACACGCATTGCCATCTGTCCCAATAATTGACATCCATTATTGAAAAGTCTGATTCAAAACTGAAGAATTATTTGTATAGTGAGTCAGACAGAAGTCATATGAACTAGTCAGCAAGTAAAGACTGTCTTTTCATGTGCTTAAAAGAGAGAAAGACAAAGTCTCACCTCACCCTCCCCCCAAAAACAATCTATACGTGGGCATCATAGCAAATCCAAGGAAAAGGGCTTCAATGCTTCTTTCTGTCATAACTTTGTCTCCTTTTTTAAAAAATGAGGCAAAGTCTGAGAAGTTATATTGTGACACTTTAGAATAGGCTAATTGTCCTTGAAGTGATAAAGAGAAACCTGGCTTATGGGATCCTAGAGCTAGGGCCAGAATGGGCCTCAGGGGCCAGCTCATTCAGCCCCCTGTCTTTACAGATGGCAGAGATCAGAGAGGTCAAGTTACTTGCCCAAGGCCACACAAATAATATGAGACAGAGCTGGGATAATGAGTTTAGAAAATGTATGACTTCTCTGCTTATGAGTCTTATCCCTATAGCAGAAAGTAAGTTTTTGGAGGGCCTATACTTATTTTTTTTGGTTCTAATATCTTCAACACCTAGTATAGCACCTTGCGCATAGTAAATGCTTAATAAATGCTTGTCCAGTGAATGAACAAGCAAAACAATTGATCTAACAAATGGAAAACACTTAAGTGCCAGGGAAAAGTCATAGCAATTATTGTTTTCAAACTGGAAGGTCCATCAGAAACTATTTTACTCCAGATCCCTAATTTTTTCAGATATGGAAATTAGGCCCAGAGGAATAAAGTGATTTGACTAAAGTCAAGTCAATGGTAAGCTCACTGGTGGGATTTGAACCCAGGTCCTCTGAAGCCAGAATCTGAGTTCATTCTACTATATATTAAACTGCCTCCTTGTTGGGGATGTGTAAAGATGTAGAGGACCACAGGCTGTTCATGAGGTCTCACTGACAGGCAGAGGCCCCTCTCAGGTGCTGATCTATGAGCAAAGGTCGCCTGGTTCGGTGCTCCATTCTATGGATCTTTAACAATCTTTAACTCCCCTAGTTACTGTATGGTCATTAGAAGTCTATTCTGGGATTGGAGTCAGATAAGTGCACAGGACGTGCATGCATTGACCTTGGGCACAGCATGGGCTATACATCATTGTAACTTGAGAAGGAGTTCCTGTTATTTTACTATATAAGTAAGTGCTTTGCTAAAAATAAATGGAGTTGCTTCCATCTTGTCTCCTGCCTCATCAATGCGCATTCAAGATAGAAGGTTAAGCTGGCCTTATCCCTTCAAAGTTAGCATAGGATCCTGGCTCTAGTGGTGAGATGAATTAGTTGTGTGCAACGCCTCCTCAAATATATTTGAAAGAGGAGAGAGAATTTATTAAGTGCTTGCTGTGTACCTGGCACTTTGCTAGCTTTGTAGATACAAAAGTAAGCCAGTAGAGTAGTGCCTGCCCTCAAGGAACTCTCATGATAATAGAAGGAAGATGGTGGATAAAAGGGAGCTAGAAAAGGGCTGGGAGAAGATAACTGTAAACATAAGTCCTACAGCTTCAACGGAGCTCTGGTTTTGTAGAGACTCTTATAGAGGATTGAAACTTCCTTCCATGCCTTGGTAGGTGGTTTTCTTAAGTTTCTGTGACTACTCAACCCTTGCCTGGTGGCCAGATTTCCATTCACCCTGAGTTTAGCCAGGCTGGTCCTCAGACATACACACTGTTGTTGTTTAGTCGTTTTTAGTTGTGTCTGACTCTTCATGACCCAGCATGGGCATGAATGCCTAGGCTGGGCATTCTATCCACCACCAGCTGCCCCTCCAAATATTGTTATTCCCGCTGTTCCCCCTTGGACCAGATATGTGATTTTATTAGTAGAAGGGAAATGAAGGAGTAAAATCTCCTTCAACCACAATTCATCTGCAACTTTGAGTCTCAGGGAGTTGAAGCTAAGTGGCTTTCCCCAGAGTCACAAATTGGGTATGTTTCAGAGGCAAGACATGAACCCAGATCTCTGAGACCATGTCTTCATCCACTGTGTCATCCTGCCTTTCATCTCCATTTTATAGTTGAGGAAACTAAGGCTCAAAGACATGAGGTTATTCATTTAAGCGTATACAGATAGCAACGGGGGCAGAACTCAAGCCCGGATCTTTTCAACCAGCTGTCTTTCTGCAGCATCACGCTGCCAATCCTTGATGGTGTCAGGATTCCAGATCTGGTATAAGCACAGGAGTAGCTCTTCCCAGTACTTTGTCAGATAGAGGCCAAATATCCGTAGGTCCAGCATCCCTAAGATTCTCATCTTTGTGGATTTGGCTCCTAGATTTTCCTGCCTGATTTTGCCATCTACTTGCCTTCCCGAGAGATTACTTTCCATTTACAAGGTATCTATCTTGTGCATAAATAGTCATTTACATGCTGTCTCCTCCATTAAAATGTTAGCTTCATGAAAGTTAGGACTGTGTTTTCGCCTTTATTTGTATTCCCAGGGCTCAGCACCATGGCCATCATAAGAGCTTAATATTTGCTTATTGACTGACTGCCTGCTTCCCAGGTTGACCAACTCTGTGTCTGGCTTCCACTCCTACTCATTCTTGTGGATTTGCTGTTTCCCAAACCCTCCCAAGCTCCTCACTTATTTCACTTCTCTCCTACAGTTTGGTAGCTTGAAATACTTTTTGAAATTCTCAGCCTTGGCTGTAACTAGGCTACCCACTATTAATGACTCGCCTCCTACCCTACCTTGGCAGCAACAAGCCTTGGCCATCAATATAGAAACTCTGCTATTTGATAAAATCTATACAGTGATAAAGCTGTCCAAATGGGTAGAAACATGACAAAAATCAATACAGACCAAAGATGCTGCTCTAGCTGCTAGCAGAGCATCGTAGGGACCAGAGCTTTAAAGGAATTCGGAGTCCAACTCCCTCATGGTATAGATGAGAATCAAAGAAAGGAAATGACTTTCTCAAAGTCACATAGGTAATAAGGCACTGAGCCAAGCTTTGGACTCTGACTGCAAATCAAATGCACTTTCCAGTATGGAACTAAAGCAGAGGTGATGATTGAATATCATAAATCAAGGAACACCAATTATTTCAGGGGCCTGTTGCAACATGAGTCATGGAAAAGGGAATTCTTCTAATGGAGCAGCAAGAGAAATGGTTTTTTAGACTCTAGGAGATTTCTCTATCTCAGTCCTATCTCATGTACTTGGTGACATGGCTTATCCTACTAAAATAAATTGACCCAGTTTCACCTAAACTTGAAAAATAAGCATAACAGTGATTACAAATATTATTTTGCATATATTGCACTGAGAGATTCAATTGGTTCATTAGTAAAATGAATACCTATACCATATACCTCACTGGATAACAATAAAATGAGATATTATACCTAAAGGTCTTCTCAAACACAGAAGTTCTATATTGATATTAGCCCTTGAGGAGTTCACATTCTATTGGACTGCCACAGAAGAGTTAGAGAAGGTAAAGAGGACCCCCAAGAGACAGCAAAATAATAACAAATGTAGAGAATATACATATATGTAGTGCATATATACATATTAGATATGTAGATATATGAATGTATGTGATAAAGCCTTGTGAATTTTCTGCTCAAAAGCCCATGGAGAACACTTGGACCTAAAACTTAAGATAAATATAATATTCTAGAACTGACAAGGTCCTTGAGGGGTCTTTTCTCCTATCTCATGGAAGGAATGAACTCTAATCAAGAAATGGAGCTATCTCTACTTTCTTTTTTTTTTTAATGTCCCAGAAAAGAGAGGCCACCATCTCCCTTCAGAAAATTCTTTCAAATGTCTCAGCTAAAAACAAAAAAGCTTCTATCCTACAAATGTCCCTTTTCGTCCTGTCTGCATGGAGACTGAAAATAGCTACTCCCCAACCACCTAGACAATGTCCTTTCTTCTGCCTACAGGGCTGTTTTTAGATCTAACCCTTTCATTCTTCTTCTCTTCAGGCCACTTAACCCCAACTCTTTAGCTTCTCTTCATGCAGACTATTTGGCCAACCATTTAAGCATTTTTTTGTTGTCGTTATTGCTGTCATCTTCTGGAACCATGCCAACTTCCCTACTTTTCCATTTCCTTTGCAGGACCTAAAACTGTCCCTAGCACTATATTAAGGAACTGTGCTAAGAGTATTTTGTGTGGGGGGGGGGGCACACACATGTGTGTGTGCTATCTCTCACCTCTCCACCAATTAAAAAAAAAAAAGCCCATGGTGCCACATTCCAACTTTGTATTTACCTCTGGTCCCAGGTTTATTTCCATTTTACTTGCACATTTTCTTTCCTTTTCTTCTCCTCCTATTTTTTTAATTGCATTCAGAACGAGAGAATCTTAGACTTGGAAAGGTCTCTTAGAGGTCATTGACTCGGCCTCTCGCCCCATGCTGCATTCCTGCTCCCTGCTATGTTTCTAACAGATGGCTAGCCAGCCTCTGCTTAATATCTCCTGAGACAACAGCCTGCCTCCCTAGGTTTATTTCCCTGCACTTCTCCTCTGCTCCTTCCTGCTTGTATCTGCTTTTTTAAGCTGTATCAAGCTTGTTTTTAAATTATCATTCTCTCCCTTCTGCTCAGACCGCTGCTGCCCAAATTGTCATCTCTTATAACCACCCACCTCGAGGATTGCAATGCCTCCTGACTGGTCCCCAGAATCCAGCCTATCCCCTCTCCAACCCATTCTCTATAGGCTGCCAAATTTATTATCCTAAAGCACATGTCTGAACACCGCATTCGCCTACTCAAGAAGTGCTAGTAGCTCCCTATTGCCTCTATGGATAAAATACAAATTCCTCTGTTTGGCACATAGAGTCAGATCCTTCACAACCCAGCTCTAATTCATCTTTCTAGACTTATTCCAGAGTATAGGGCATGCTATATAATCCAACCAACCTGTCCCACTTTTTGTTACCCATTCTGGATATCCCATCTCCAATGTCTGTGCCTTTGCCAATGCTGGTCCTCATGTCTGGAATGCCCTTCCCCCTCACATCGGCCTTTTGGAATCCCTAGTTCCCTTCAAGGAAAACCTCAAGTGCTATCTTCTGCAAGAAAGCTTTTCTTATTCTCCTTTTCTTGATACTCCTCCTTTCAAAAATTACTTTATATTTATTTCATTTTTTATATTTACTCATCTGGATACACGTTCTTTCCCCCCAATTTAATGTAAACTCCTTGAGGTGAGAAACTATTTGATTTCTATCTTGGTGTCCCCTGGTACCTAGCATGGTGCTTGGCATGTGCTTAATAATGTTCCTTGAATTGACAAGAACTTTCACTATGCTGACTGGACGGTACCCGAGTATGAGTTCAAGTGGAGATTTGAAAGACTTTGTCCTTAGCATGGCATCTATCTCCATTTATATCGTCTCTCTCTCCTTGGTGCCAATGGTGTAGATATGTTTTCTAATGCCTGCTTTGATCAAAGTCCCTGAGATGGTGGAAATGTTGAAATCACCTTTTGTAGGGCTGACCACCAAGGAATATGTTTTGGACTGAGAAAAGTAATGTTTTCCCTAGTACCTATCCCTGCCAAAAATTCAAACTCACCTGAAGTGTATTATTTTTTCCCTAGCTCTTCACCTTTGGATGGCGGGAAGATGTGCGTCCTGGAGAACCACTCCACACCCGAAAGTTTTGCTTTGATGCCATTTCCCACAGTAGCCCTGTCACGCTCTATGATTGTCACGGCATGAAGGGGAACCAGCACTGGGGCTATCGGAAGGTACGTCACAATCAGGCTCACAGAGGCAGCTAGGTAGTGTAGTGAACAGAGCACTTGGCCTGGAATCAGGAAAATCTGAGTTCAAATCCAGCCTCAGATACTTCCTCATTGTGGGATTCTGGGCAAATCACTTAAACTTTGTCCTACAAGTTGCCTCAAATATAAGATGGGAATAATAATAGCACCCACCTCCCAAGGTTGTTGTGAATATCAAATGAGATGTTGTAAAGTGCCTGGCACAGTGCCTCATATATAGTGGATACTGAATAAATGCTTGTTTCCTTCTTTCCTTCCTTCCTTCCCTCTTGAGGTGTCCTTTGAAGGAAACTAGAAAGTCTAAGAAGCCAGGAGGGAGAGCATTCCAGGCATGGGGACAGCCAGAGAAAATGCCCAGAGTCAGGAAATGAAGAGTCTTGTTCTAGGAGCAGCAAGGAGGCTGGTGTCACTGGGTCACAGAATATGTGGGGAAGGGGGTATAAGGGAAAAGAAAACTGGAAAGGTTGGGAGGAAGGTCATAAAGGGCTAATGTCAAACAAGAAATTTTATATTCAATTGTGGAGCCACTGGAGTTTTTTGACTGGGGGTTGGGGAGTGAAAAAGTATGGAACATGGTCAGACCTGGGCTTTAGGAAGATCACTGTGACATCTAAAAGGAAGATGGACTGGAGTGGGGAGAGATCTGTGGTAAGCAGGCTATTGCAATATTCTAGGCGTGAGGTGATAAGGACCTGCTTCAGAGGAGAGAAGGGAATGCATGCGCAAGATGTTACAAAGATAAAATCTGACAGGTCTTGACAACAGATTGGATATTTAGGGTGAGTCAAGGATGACACCCAGGTAATAAGCCTGGGTGACTGAGAGGATAGTGGTACCCTTAGCAGTAATAAGGAAGTTTGGAAGAGAGGAGGGTTTGGGTGAGAAGATAATGAGTTCAGTTTTGGACATGTTAATATTAAGTTATCTATAGGATACCCAGTTCAACAGGTCCAATAGGAAGAGATGCAAGTGTAGAACCACAATAAGTACATTTAAGAATCGTCAGCCTAGAGATGTTAATTGAATCCATGAAAGCTGATGAGATCACCAAGTAAAAGAGCACAGAGGGAGAAGAGAAGAGGGCCTAGGAAGAGGCTTTATGATTAGTGGGCAAGACCAGGATTCAAGAGATTGAAAAAGTCAGATCGGTAGGAGGAGAACTGGGAAAGAGTAGTTGTCATCAAAGCCTAGAAAGAAGAGATTATCAAGGAAAAGAGAATAGTTAGTTTCTGCAGAGTTCAGGAAGGATAAGGGTTAAGAAAAGGTCATTAAATTTGGCTATTAAAAGATCTTTAGTGATTTTGGAGAGAACACTTTTGGGTAAATGATGAAGTCAGAAGCCAGATTGTAAAGATTTAACAAGTAAATGAGGGGAAATTAAGTAAAAGTGAGAGGTCTCTATTGTAGATAAGCTTCTCAAGGAGTTTAGCCACAGAGAAAAGGAGAAATACTGGATTATGGTAGAGATGGGTGGATTAAATGAGGGTTTTTTGAGGATGGGAGAGACCTGGGTATATTTGTAGGCAGTAGAGAAGCAGACTACAAACAGGCATTGAAGATGAGTGAGAGAGTAGGGCAATGTGCTGGAGGAGACGTGATGGAATAGGATTAGTTGTGCAAGTAGAGGTGTTTGCCTGAGCAAGGAGAAGGGCCACCTCTTCGTAAGGGACAGAGTAAAAGAGGAAATATTGGCAAAAGGCATCAGGGAAATGGGAGGTGAGGAAAGAAGAAGGAACTCTTGGTGGATAGCCTCATTCATTTTTTCAGTAAAATATGATACAAGTCTCTCAGCTGAAAGGGTGGAGAAGGGGATCTAGGGGAGATTTGAGGAGGGATGAGAGGTTTGGAAGGACCACTGGGGAGAGTACAATAGTGAGTTAATTAGGGGAAGTGTAAAAAGGATTGCCTTGTAGCAGTGAGGGTCCAGTTGAGGTTATATGACAAATTTGTAATGGACCCAGTCAGCAGAGTTTCATGAATTTTCAGCCATTCCATTTACTAGGCTACAGTTGGTCTTCAGCTGAGATGCTGTTCTCAAAGCTGATTATGACACATGTAGAGACTACAGTCTTATATTGCAACATTTGAGTAGATCTGTGAAATCACTGGTGGAGAAAACCTCTCCTGCAGTGCAGACCACAATCTACACCCCATTGCACATGATTCTTGTCCAAGTCCTCCTACAAACCCTCTAATGTGTTAGAGGCCTTTCTGTAAGCCTTTTAACATCGATGATACCAGTTAAAGCTATCTATCTTCTCTCAATCTCAATATGACACCAAGTCATCTCCTTTTCTGATTATCCTTTTCCTTGGTGGTACTCTAGCCTAGATGCATAAACTGGATCCTTTGCAAATTGGCAGCTAGAACTTAACTGAGAAAAAAGCTTTCCTTAGGGACTGAGAAAATGAAGGTAATTTTTAAACGCACTGCAAACAGCAAACTCAAAACAAATGAAAAACAATGCTTCATTGAGTTAGCGGTAAAATAAAAAAGCGATAAAATTGATTTTTAAAAAGCATTTTCACTGAGTTAAAATAATAGTAAAACTTTTATTAATTTAGTTTTGGACTCCCTCGAAGCATATTTCATTTTTTAACTTTATTATTATTCTTAAGCCTTGAATTCAGACTATCTCTTCTCTTGGGCATATGAGAGCTACCATTTTGACTCTGGATTTTGGTCTCAGTTATTCTCTTCACCGACAGGAAGTTGCTAATAGAAGACTTTCCCATTTAAAGATGGGGGAAATAAAGAGCTCACCTAAGGTTTGCTCCAACATTCTCTATTTTTTCCAAGTTGCTAAGAGAATGCTCCAGCCACATGTCTAACAGCAGCTAAAACCAGGACTAGTTCCCTTGAGTTTTAAAAAAGCTGTCCCCATCAAGGACAAAGAGATACCTAAATCCACCAGCATTGCTTATAAGGCCTCCACTTGTGCTCAAGCCCTAGTCTTCCCCTGAAATAAGATCACAGATCTTGAAGGGACCTCAAAAACCACATAGTCACCCCCTCATTCTACAGAGGAGCAAACTTCACCTCAGAGCGGTGAGCAGTGAAGGTAGAGGATTTTTTGCACATCAGCCCCATTTTCTCCTAAGATCTTACTAGTGAATACATATGCATGCAAAAGTACCATATATTTGTCTATTCTATATACCCAAGTAATAAGGCAACTGAAAAGAGATAATGAAAGAAATGACATCCAGTCCCTTATACTGGGAAAAATAGCTTCAGAGCATTATAAAAATAGGGCAGGTTTTTCAGGTGAATTGTATAGTAGTAAGTGACTGGATGTGTCAAATGCATTTGCAATTTGACTTTCTGTAACCTGGGTAGTGGGAATTAGGTGGCATTTTTTAAAAGGGTGATGCACTAACTTTCCTAGTATATCAGCAAAGCACCTGAGTAGTAACTGATCTTGTGAGCAAGACACCCTGTGCTGGTTCCCAGGAAAAAGACCACTTCTTAGCAGTACCATTAATGTCCATTTATATCATAAATGACAGTGTGCCCATGCTATACCTTTAGGCCAAGAAAATGCTATAATTTTCATGGAGGAGCTTACAGACACTTAGAAATGGATGAGACAAACAAATATGTGGGCATAAAGAGTTCTCCTGGGAGTTAAAGTTGTCTGCTGGGATTCACATTTAAAAATCTTTCCTTGTGCTATCCACATGCAGAGAAAGAACTATGGAGTCTGAATACAGATCGAAGCATATACTATTTTCTCTTTTTTTGTTGTTTTGGTGGAGAATTTTTTTTTAAATATTAAAAACAAACATCAGAAAATAATGCAAACACTAAAAAAACTTTCTTTTTTTGGGTCCTTCTGGGATCTCCAGGAGTGCATGAAATAAAACCAAAAGAAACAGTTTTGCTGCAGTTACTGTCTTAAAACTTTTCTTATCAGCCAAGGTTTACGTTATTGAAATATGTTTAAAAAGAGTATGATTTCTAAGGTAATCAGAACAGAAGGATCAAAGAATGTAGGTTTCAAACTGGAATCTTGAAGGTTTCAAAGAGACCTTGGAGGCTATCAATGCCAACTTTCTCATTTTACACATAAGGAAACTGAGACCTAAAGAGTTGAGATAAAATGCCAGAGATCACATAGGTAGTATATGGTAAAGTCCGGTTTTAAACCAAAGTTGTTTGACATAGTCATGTATTATTATTAATACTAATATTACTAGTTAATTTTGTTAATATATATTATTATACAATGGCATATTGACATAATTAATATGTGAGTTGAGGAGAATAATAATAATAATAATAATAATAATATTCACATAGAAAGTTCTGGAAAATTTGTAAAAATCCCAGCTTCAGCTAATTTGTTCTGGACCAGTGTCAGCAAACTAGAGCCCAGGGCCCCGCCTAATTTTGCATAGCCCTTGAATTAAGAATGTTATATTTTTAAAGTATCCCTTTATATTAAAAGTGTAAAAAACATTCTTTGTACAGGACTGTACAGAAGCCCTTCCTGTCAAACTCAAATAGAAATGGATCCCTGCCTACTGCATGTTGACTTAGAAAACCAGAAATTAACATTATCTACATTGTATTGTATTTTTATTTCAACATTTCCCAATTACACTTTAATCTGGTTCTGTGGCACCAAGGAGTTTTGTTGACTCAAGGGTGTGACACCTCCCTCTAAACTATCTAAGTTTGGCCACCTCAGGAACTCTCTTTGGCATATTTTGATAGGAGGCAGCATAGTAAAGTAGAAGAAATACTGCCTCTGGGATTAGAAGGCCTAGATGCAAGCCTCATCTCTGAAATTTTACAACCCGTATGACCTTGTGCAAGCCAATACACTCCCCTACTCCTCAATTTTCTCAGTTTTAAAGTGAGGGGTCTAGATTAGATGACCTCCAAGGTCCCTTCCAGCTCTTGATCTATGACTTCCTTTATGTTGAGGGGAGACAGCATGGATTTGGAGTTGAATACTT